GGGCTCTCTCTTCACATTATTGATTATTTCCTTTGCTGAGAAAAAGATTTTTGGTTTGAATCTATCCCATTTATTGATTCTTGTTTTTATTTATTGTGCTACAGGAATCTTATTAAGATGTCAGGACCTAATTCAACATGATGAAGATTTGGGCCTACATTTTTTTCTATTAGGCACAGGATCTCTTGTCTAATTCCTAGGTCCTTGATCCACTTTGAGTTGAATTTTGTGCATGGTGAAAGATAGTGGTCTAGTTTCATTTTGCTGCATATGAATTTCCAGTTTTTCCTGCACCATTTGATGAAGAGGCAATCCTTTCACCAATGTACATTTTTGGCACCTTTGTCTAGTATGAGATAACTATATTTATGTGGGTTTGTTTGTCTGTGTTTCTATTCTGTACCAAAGGTCTACTTGTGTATTTTGGTGCCAATGCCATGCTGTTTTTGTTACTATAGTTTTGTAGTATAGTTTAAGGTCTGGTATTGTGATGCCTCCTGCTTTACTCTTCTTGCTTAGGATTGCTTTGGCTACTCTGGGTCTCTTATTTTTTCAAATGAATTTCACGATAGCTTTTTCTATTTCTATGACAAATGTTGTTGGGATTTTAATTGTAATTGCAATAAGCCTGTATAAGGATTTTAGTAGTAAGGCCATTTTGATGATATTAATTCTTTCTATCCAAGAATAAGGGAGATCTTTCCATCTTCTAAAGTCTTCTTCAATTTCTTTCTTTAGTGTTCTATAGTTTTCATTGTAGAGGTCTTGCACCTCTTTTGATAGATTGATTCCCAAGCCTTATTTTTTATTTTATTTAGAGACAGGGTTCTTATTGAGTTGCTTAGTGCCTCGCTTTTGCTGAATCTGGCTTTGAACCCTCAACCCTTCTGCCTCAGCCTCTGAAGCTGCTGAGATTACAGGCATGCTCCACCACTCCCAGTGCAAAACTCGAATTAAAAAAAAAAAGAATGGGTCTTAAACTTCAGAGACTTAGTGTCTTTATCTGTAGAATGGGGTTAATAATTCATCCCAAATAGTATTACATGAGGAATTGATAAGAGCATGAATATGAAACCATGTTTTTAAAGCTATAGCCCATTTAGGAGCACAGAAGCAGACTGGGCATCTAGCATCCGCATTGACTGTGTGACTTTGAGAGGATTTTTAAAATCTTTATCTTCCTCAGCTTCCCTATCTGGGGCTATAAATGAGGATATAAGAGTGTCCATCCATTTTTACATGATTTTTTTGTGAGAATTAAGTGAACGACTATATGTCAAGTTCTTAATGAATAAATTAATAGAGACATTCAAAGTGAGTTCCTTTGCACACTGAGCTGTGACCTCAGTCCCTATGAGGGTTTTAACCCCCACACACCCAGATCCTCCAACAGAGAAGACAGAGAGTTGTGTGGAGGTGAAGAGCCCAGGCATCAGAGGCTAAAACACCTGGGTTTGCATCCTGGCTACTTTCCCTTGCTGAGCCTCAGTTTTCCCTGTGAAAATGGGTACAATGAGAATATTAGTAAAAAGTCACTGCGTTGATGGAGATTGGAACAACACCTGGCTCAGAGCAAGGATAATGTAATAAGTGGGAGTATTGATTTATAACAAGGCTGACTCCCGTAACTTTCAGAGACAGAGGCATCTCATCCCTTGTACTTATCCTGTGATTCTTACTTCCCTCATAGTAAATCCCCTGTAGAAGTGGGGCTGGGCACTGACCTGCACCATCACAGAAGGTGCACCACTCTACAGTTTGTGTTCCCTTTCTACTTACCAAGTGTATTAGCCAGGGTTTCCCAGACGTGGAATATAGGAGATATGAGGGGAAGTTCATTAGGGAAATTGGCTTCCAGGCTGAGAAGATGATGGGCCATCTGCAAATTGGACAATCAGAGAAGCCAGTAGTGGGCTCAATCCAAGTCTGGAAGCCTCAGACCTAAGGAAGCAGATGGCATGGCCCCCAGTCTGAGGACAAAGTTCCAAAGGGAGATGGAGAGAGACTTTGCTTTCACCTTTTCATTTTTCATCTGGGCCCCCAGTGGAGTGGATGGTGCTGGCCCACATTGATCCCTGGAGGGGCCTTCCCCAAAGTTAACCATCACATCAAGTCCAGGCTCAATTAGAACACACACCTGGTATATAGATCAGAAGGAAACGCAGCCCTGCCAATCACCAAGTTCCTGGAGACCACCTAGCTCTCCAAGCCCAGGTAAGTGAGGAAAAGAGATAATGACGCCCTCAAGGCTTTCAAGCAAGATTTTCAAACTGAATCTATTGTGTAGAGAAAATTGCCTGAAAGTGAGAAAGGCTAATTTGTCTGGCTGGGAGACTGGGAATATCACCGCTGGCAGTTTTGCATCTGTGGCTCTTGTTTAACAATTAAAAAGAGAGAGAGAAAGATTCAAAGCTCAGATAATACCTAGCAACATTTAGATATACTTAATTGTAAACTGTATATTTTACAGTCATGGGACTGCCTAAGGAATCTGCATAAATGGATTCTATGGTATTCCCCCCAACACCGCCCCCCAGGGACTAGTCTGGTTCTTTCTAACTTGATCCCTTGAAGCCAGGGACTTTACAACCACATCCCCGGTTCTGTCCTACTTCATAAGCATGTAACCTGTGTGGTCACAGAGTCCCAGGACTCGGAATGGACCTGTACTTCATTGAACATTTTGCTGTCCTGGTTTATGGAATTCTTTTTTTTTTTTTTAAACTGTTTGTTGCTTGGTTTTAACAAGGAGTCCCACATTTTCATTTTGCATTTGGACCCTGGAAATTATGTAGCTGGTTTTGTTCCCACTACCTAGCCCAGTGTCTATTGTCTAGTAAATGCTTATTGATTATTAGGGACAAGTTTGTTCCCACTGATGTATAATATACTCCCTAACTCTTCATTAGCAGTATATTCAAAGCATTTGATATCTTCCTATGTTAGGAAACCAGCCCAAAAAATTATACCTGAAACTTAGAAACCTAATTTGATGTATTAAATACCAGTGACTAGCAAATATGGTCCCTCCCCAAATAGAAGCAATTTACATATCTTCCTTTTGCTTGATCGTGACAGGAAAAACAGATCAAAAGTGCTGGATATAGCTGCCCAAGCAATGTGCTAAAGTTACTGAGGTGATGCTATTCATATCTTAAGAAATGAATATTCAGATCCCATTCAAATGGAGTTCTCAGGGGGGAAGTGCCCTTTATAGAACAATTGATTTTTTCTGAAGTTGCATTACCAGTTAGTTACAGGATATTTACTTTGGTTTGTAGTTTGGGAACCGGGGGATGTATCTGAGAGCTAAAATCAGGGCAGCCTGCAGAATTGTAATCAGGAGGTTGATGATAAAATCATGAAAAGAAATAAAGTGGAATCCACTAAAATTACAACCAGAAAACACCCCAAGAAGTAAGTGGGATCCTGAAAAAAGAACCTAATGGAATTGAATACTGGGATGATGTAATGCATTGAACTTCACCTTCAATTCACAAGGATTCAGTTAGCAAAGCCAAGCCACTGTGTATGTTAAATAAAACATTCCTATTTGAAAACAAGGTGGTGATGGTGTTGGTGAGTGACTAATGTTTTACATACAATACAGGATAACGGGAAAAAGATGTAACATTCCTTCTAAGTGCCTTTTTTTTTGCATCTATGAACTTTCATCATTGACACTTTCCAGCAGCCTCTGTCAGATCCAGGCAGCAGCTGAGAGCTTTCCGAGGAAAGAAAGTCTAAGGCTTACCAGCAACAGCATCCGTAGTGACTACAGCAGAAATAGAACCAGGAATGGAGAAGGCCAGGTAGGAAAGGAGACTCTAGAAAAGAGACAGCAGCTATCAAGACCTGCATAAAAGACTGCAGGCAGGGTAAATGCACCATTGAGCTATACCAGAAACAGTCATGAACACCTGAAGGAGACTTTTCTGGGGATACATTTAAGTTGGAAGTTGTTCCCTCCAGGCAAAAGCCAAAGCCCAGATATAATTCCTCTTTTAGCTAAAGCAGGAGCACAAGTTTAAAAAAAAAAGTAAAGAGAATATTCACAGAAAATACTACATGTCACAGAGCTTGAGTTTTGGCAGATGGAAACAGAGTTCTCTGTAATTCGTGTTAAAAATCTTTGAATTAGGAAATTCCATGAGACCATAAAGAATACAAATGGGGAAAGGAAAGAAGGTCAGACAATGAGAAGGATGAAAGAACAGGAAGCAAGCCAGACCAGAGCCGAGACGGCTTTTGAAGCCATAGCTTGCCTTGGGTTCTCACTATGGACTGGGGAAGACAGAGTGAGAGTTAACATCAAAACCATAGTATTGTATTTGTAGTTTGTTTATGATACTTAGGTTGACAGTTGAACAAACTGCATGTTCTCATCTAGCATAGAAAACAACATAAAATTCAATATTAGACATTTGTACCCTAAAGTTCTGAAGCCCCTCCCACCATAGGCCCTTAATACTGGCCATCCTTTCCCCAAAACCCATCCATTTCATGTAAATTGCTTCTCCTGCCACTGAAACCCCTTTGCTCTTCTAGTATTCATCTAAACCCTTTTCCCCTCCTCCCAGGGAGTTGCCAAAGCCTACTCCCCAATTCCTGTGCTTTTTAAAGCCGTGAAACTCTGCCTAAATGTTTTCTACCTGGTCTATGTCTAGAAGGAAGGCCAAGACTTCCAAAGTGAAACAAAGCCTTCAAGGTGTTTTTCTAAATCAATAGTGAAATTTCCTCCCACCCTGTCCTGGCCCAACAGTTCAAACTCCAGGTGATTCTTTAAAATGATTTACAAACTACTGTCACTAAATATTCTTCTAGAATAATATTTGTAAATGGAGGCATATAATGCAATCCCATGAATGTGATGCTTTAACAACACAATGCCCTGTTGTTGGATGTTTCAAGTTATTTAATACTATTTCCAATATAGTTTAATACTATTGCCAATATTTTGCTCTCATAAACAGGGCTTAAAAATATATTTCTATTTATAGATCCTTTTTGGTTCATAAGCTTGATGATCGGGTGTTCACGCTGCCCTGTGAGACGTGCCTCCCTCTGAACCTTGCTACGATGTCGGCACCTTACCTTTCTGACATGAAAAACAAGCAAACTTCTATTTATATGTTTTCATGCATGTAAGATTATTTTCATATTGTAAATATTTTGAAGTGAAGTTATTATATAAAAATTATAAATGTAAAGCAAAATTTTGAAATTTTTTTCGTATGTATCTTTAATGACTTGCAGAAAGCTTTACAAATGTATGAAATATGCATGTTTCTATATATTTAGCCACTCTGGAGACTGGAGTTTTTAATAATTTAGTGACTAAATAAAAATAAGTATGTAGTTATAGAATTATTAATTATCATAAAATATATAAATTATCAATTATAAGTTAATGGTCTTAACTAGCATAGATATAGAAGAAAAATTAAAATTTGACAAAAAAATTATCTCATCAGGAATTTATATAAAAAATAATTCCAAGTTTATTTCTTGCTATTGATAATGGTGGTGAGCATCAGACTCAAGGTAAAATGAGGTTTGATGTATTTTATAGAGTCAGATAAAATGGTCCAAAATTTTTAAAAAGTGAAGGTATTAAAAGGGTTTTATTATCAAAAGAGCTTCAGTTGATGAATGGTCTCATTCATCTGCATCAAGGCAAAAAGATTATGTTGAAGGACCGTGGCTCAATATCATCGATATATATTGGCACATGTCATCTTTAAAGGCCACACTCCCCCACTGCCCCTGTACCACCAACCTTTTGATCCAGTCAGGCTTGTCAGATAATAATTATAATTTCTTTTTAACTCACAATAAATGTATTAAAATTTTACAGACAGGAGACTTTCACTTCTATCTATGATAAAATAGCCTGTATCAGATTAACTTTGCCTTGAAAATATATAATAATGAGATAAAGTTTAGGACCAGAAAGTGCAGTTTTTTGAAGGAATCGGAGAGCAACCAAAGCATCTAGGACTTCAAAGACCCAACTAGAAATAAAGGGAAATGCATTGACACAACTTCTTCACTCACTGAAGCATCTTTTCCTCTCAGAATATTTGCTGAAGAGCAAATACTATAGCATAGTGATTGCTTCAGTCTCACTGGGATGGAGAGAGAAAAAGTTAGAATCCAGAGCAAACAAGGGCATGTGCCAAGACCCTAGAAAAAGGCCCAGAGAAGCAAATCTGACGTTTTTCACTCACTGTCCCCATTGAAACACTTGCTGGTTACCAAACTGATTATTCGTACATCTTCAGGGCAAGAGCTGGCAAGCTCAGCAGAAGGCAGCTTCTATGAGGCTAAAAAGCTAAGCAGAAATTTTGACAGTCTCACAGCACATGGGGAGATGAAAGCTTGTTCAGAGGCTGCCAGGGAGGAGTGGTCCCAGAAAATACCATACACTTTCAACCCAGATCCTTAAGGGACTATGTCAAAGAGTAAAACAGACTAAATTAGCTAGACTTCAAAAAGTCCAAAGAAGGACCTTGACTGGATTGGTGTGATTTTCTGGACTATCCCTGCCTAAGATAAATTCTCTCTGTGGGAATTCTCTCTGTAAATAAATTCCCTCTGTGGGAAGTTAATGCTATTCATACCCTCTGCAATTTTTTGTGTGTAATTTTCAGAATGCAATGAAATAGGCATACTAGTAAAAAAAAAAATCATTAGCCATGCCAGAAAAAAAGGAACAATTAAAATACAATGATACAAGACAAAATATACATTAGATACAACTCACTGCCTGGAAGCTTTTGAAGTCATTAGACATAGACTTTAAGATAAGCAAGATTTAATACATTCAAAAATGTATATGAAATGATGGAGAATTTCACCAGTCTATAAAGTTAAAAGACCAAGAAAGATGATAATCAAATTTAAAATTCAATGAATGGGTATTAACCTAGCCAAAGAGAATACTGGTGAACTAGAAGAAACTTCAGTAGAAAACATATCAATTAATACAGAAAACATATCAATTAATACATAAAAAAAGAAAAAGATGTATGGGACACAATACAAGGATATAATAAAAGTGTGATTAAAATTTTGGAGAGAAATGAGAGGATGAGGTAGAAGGAATATTTTAGGAGATATTTACCAAAATTTTTCCAAGATTTAAAGAAACATCCAATCACATATTTAAGAAGTCCTATGGTTCCCATGCAAAGAATATACAAAGAAAACTACTGGAAGGCCCATTGTAATAAAACATGAGAGAGGAAGGGAGAAATGGGGACAGAGAGAGACACACACACACTCACACACACAGGTACAGACAGACCCTTTAAAGCAGCCAGAGGAAATAAAGGGAAAAGATGCTATTAACTTCAAAGGCACAACATAAAATGGGATATAACAATATGGTTTTTAAAGTATTAAAAGAAACAGCTAATAATCTCAAGTTCTGTACCTAACAAAAATGTTCTTCAAAAGTTGAGATGATACAAGGACATTTAAGACAAAAAAACCCAAGAGGATTAACTACCAGTCCAGCTACATCAAAAGATTTACCAAAAGGGGTTCTCCTGGAAGAAAGAAATGATTCCACATGGAAGAATAGTACTACAAGTAGGACCGAAGAGTATTCTAACAGGTTAAAAACCTAGCTGAATCTCAGTGGATAGTATCTGTGTAAAATAACAATAGTAGCTTGGCAAAGAAAAGAGCACAACAGGCAGAAAGGGAATAAACAGGGCTAGGGTGTTGGAAGATCTTTACATTGTTCAGGAAGTAGTCGGTATTCCAGTTTATATCACCCTGAAATGATTCAAGAAAACTTGTTATAATCTCTAGGGTAATAATTAAAACAAAAAGTTAAAAGAGTAAGGAATTATGAAAGAACAGAGGACAAAATGAAAGGATAAAAATGACTGATTTAAAAGGAACAATATACAGGAAAATAGGAAAGGGGTATAATCATCAATTTTAACAAATTATATGTTGAATTGAATGGCTAAACATGCCAGTAAATTGGCAATAATTATGGATAAATGTACAGTTAAATTTTGCTTACAAGACACTTTTATGTATAAGGACAGAGAAAGTTTGAAAGGAAATAAAGATGAAAAGATAAACCATTTAAATATAAAACAAATAATTCAGTAGTTTTAATTATATCAGATAAAGTAGACTTTAAAGAAAGGAGTATTAGAAGAAATAAATTTGTATCTAATGACATACCTGTAATATGTATATATTACATGTAATGATGTATAATATACATGGAAATCTGATACATCTAAATGTAGAAATGGCAAATCCTCAACCCTTGTAATAAAATAACTAGTAATTTAAAGTATCAGTAAAGATAAATGGTAGATTCAAAAAACAAGTTCGTATATTTTCCCAATCAACTAATTAACTGCAGAATGAACACACTTGTCAATAAATTTATAATACCCTTAAAACTGGCTATACGCTGGGCCCTAGTGGAACTATCAATAAATGACAAAAAATTAAATTAAATACAAAATAGAAGATAAGAAAAGAGTGTATCATCATGACCTTGGCAGCAGAAAATTGGAACACTACACTACTCAAACATCTGGTTCAGATATGCATGATATATCTCAGCAGTTCTACATAGTTTTCTCTGCTTATTCCAACCTACTCTGATGTGATGTTTTGTTTTGTTTGTTTGGTACCAGAGATTGAACTCAGGGGCACTCACTACTTAGCTGTATCTCCAGGCCCTTTTTATTTTTCATTTTGAAACAGGGCCCCACTAAGTTGCTGAAGCTGACTTTGAACTTGTGATGTTCCTGCCTCAGCGTCCTAACTGCTGGGATTACAGTTGTGTACCACCACATGCAGATTCTTTCTTATTGTGTATTTACTTCTCTTATAATTACCACCATATAGTTCAGCACTCACATTATAAATGGCTGTTATTCTTGCAAGCAGCAAGTTCATTAGTTTCTGCTCCTATTTTGAGTAGCACCCGAGTTAATGTTGGACACATAATAGGCACTCCATCACAGAGAACTCAGGTGGTCCCAAGTCTCTTAACCTCTTCTTTGCTCTTTGCCTTTCTATGACTTTGCGCTCCAGTCCTGCCATTCATTTAAAATTAAGACTGGCCCAGGTGTTACCTAAAACCAAAGCATAATACTGAGCTTGAAGGCTGCAGAGTTGTTTAGATCTCATCTTATGCGTGAGAGAGAGAGAGAGAGAGAGAGAGAGAGAGAGAGATCGATCATAATTTTTTAGGGGAGACATGAGAACAGGTAATGATTTTATTTTTCAAGAAAGCATGGGATGAGTGTAATGGAAATGGCTATAATTTAAGTTTTAAGAGAAGAAAACTTGAAGGCTAGTAGACTGGCCCAAAAGACTGTAACAGGGAATCTCAAGTAGAGCAAAACCTAATGAACATTTTTTTTAATTGATGTATCATGTTTCCTAGACAGTTGTCAAATACATTTCTCCTGAAATAATTAGAGAATTTCTTTAACCAGAGAAGACAGCTTGCTGGGACTACACAATAGGTGACACCAGAAGAACAGAATGGTGAAGGAGTTGCAAGTGGATTTTATGGCGTTTAAAGCCACCAGAGATTTATGCTAGGAGAACCTCTTACCTTTTTTGTGTAGGACATGCCTCTTTTCTGTTGGCCCCTTCCAGTTCTAGGGAAGAAGCTATTGCAACATACCTACTTTTGTTTTTTTAAGTCTCCTACTGCCTTTGTGAAATTGAATAAAGAAGTTACATTATTTTTTTAATTGAAAGAAGTCAGGATTTAAGACTCTTGTCAGAGATTAACAGAAATTTAGGAAGATATAGAAGAGCCCTGAATTCCTCCATGCTAGTATAACAAAGCAGCTGAGTTGCAAACTCAAATGTCTATAGGCAGTATGAATGGAAAAGAAAAGGGTGGGTAGAAGGGTGAACTGAATGTAAAAATAGTGACGGCACTAATATCCTAAGAAATGGCACCTGACACTTGGACTGTAATAAGGTGAATTCTCAGGCCCTACCCAGATCTACTGAATAAGAAACTCTGGGCTAGGACCCAGCAATCTGCAATGACTTGGATCGATGGTAACGTTGAGAACTAGTGCAGAGAGGGATAGTGAA